ACACAGTGAGGGGACTTCAGCATGAGCCCAGACAAAAACCTCCCTGCAGAGGAGCTCTGGGCCAGCAGGGGGCGCTCAGCCCTAAGGAATCATAGGCACTATAATTCTTTAGAACAGGGAAAGAAAAACACCTGGTTTCCTCTGTCTTTGATTCCCACTCCCCATGCACAGAGAAGACATGGGGTCTTTTCTCTCTCTGATGCTGAAATGCTGTGTTTATGTGAAGTCACATTTGTTTGTGTCTCACTGTGAGTCTCAGGACAGGGTGTACAGTAATATTCTTGTCATTTTGAATGTGTTCGGAGTCTTTACAGGCTGAGCAGTCTCTCTGTGTTGAGGAATATGTTTTGATGAAAACAACTTTTTGGAATTCAGCTGATCACACATGGCAATAGTTTTCAAAGAAAAATCTGATTTCATTGTTTCTCACTCACACACTGCACTCTCAGTGATATCTGTATGTTAGAGCTCATCCTAGCCTGTTTATACAAAGCAGTTGCTGAGATGCCTAAGGAATGACACACAGTGTGACAAGGGGGGGTCCACACACCTGCAGCTGCATTACCCACCATGCAATGCACAGACGGGATTTCCTGGTGTCACCTTTGTGGGGCTGAGTATAGATAAGAACTCTTCTGTCGATGGTTACTGCCTCCCAGAGATGGACTCTTCTGTGTGAGAAATTATATCGATTGGTGATAGGATTCAAACAACATATGAAATAATTATTCAAGTGGTCACACATATCCTTAATATCCTTAAATGCAACAGAGGAGAATTCATCTCTGACTTCATAGAAGAGAACTGAAAGTCATGTGATCAGATTGACCTGGCCTGTGATTTGTGCTCTCCTGCCACAGAGTCATAGGAACGGAAATCTGACCCAAACAGAGACCATGAAATACAGCTGCCCAGTTATGTAATTAAAATAAAGTCAGCAGTGTGAGTGTCTCATATCAAACCTTTAGTTAACAAGCCTTACATTGCATTCTGTGATATTTTTATCAAATTCTCTCTGAACATTAGGAAAATTTGAACAAACCCAAGATGAGAGAGAATGTCTGAATTGAATGTCCCCAAAACCATCGTAGTATCACACACACGGTGGCAGAGAAAGCAGAGTGGTTGAAGTCCCTCAGAAACTACACTGGACAGCTGCATCTCCATTGATAAGAAGAATGGGTCCTCACATTGGAAACCCATAGCCTAAAGGTCATTCATAAAAATCCAAGAATAAGATATGAGATTTTCAGGGATGAAGAAGTGAATGAGCATCCAAAAAGGCTATCCCAGTCCCACAGACTGTCCTCATTTTGAAGGATTTTCTAATAACAGCCAATCCTCAGACTCAATACTGCAGAGTGGGCATGGAAGGAAGGTATAGCTTGGTCTATGAACAGAGGAGATGAGGTCATCTTTGTCACACTTTAACAGGGGTGATTCCTTTTTAGAGACCCCCAAGGGACTCAAATAATAAACAGACTACAAACATTATTTATCAAACAATATCTGTATGATTTCTTCAACAATTCTGGATATTCATTTTCTAAGATTTATTCAAACCCATTTTTAGTGTTTTCGGCAAATGAAAGATATATAAAAACAGACATTCAAAAGTCAGAGACATGGAAGAGCACATACTTAGTGTCAAGTCATTGAGAGGGTAGTTTTTTTTTTCCTTGGCCATTTTCTCCCTACAGGTATAATTCCTGCATGTTGGTTAAAGGTGTTAGTGAATCACTTTTCACAGACTTCACATAGGGATTGAGTGTATGTGCATGCTAACTGAGATAGGATCTGAGATCATACAGTGTTCTATGGACTCCATATGTGAATCCATCCCAGTCACAGTGTCTTTCCCTACTGTCTCCAGCTTTACAAAACAAGGACCTACACTGACACAGCATCACATCTCACAGTTCATGCTTGGTTGCATTTATTCTATAGAGCATTGATTGGGTTTTGAATAAACGCTGGGGTACTGGATAATCCCAAGGGTTCAGTGTCTTTACTATCTCAGATAATTCATTTCACATGTTTCTCTAGCAGATATTCCCTCCCTATCACAAATATGAATGTCATGTGTTTAATATGTTTGCAAATGTGTGAGGAATGCATTGTGGCTGGTGTAAGCACCCTAGGCCAATTCTATGTTAAAGATTATGCAAACCTATATTGAGTTTAAAATAGTGTTTGAAATACCAGTGAGTTGATAAGACATCCTCCTGTGTTCCCTCAACTAGAAAGTAGAGGTTGACCAGAAGGTCAGGGAATCTTCCTCTTCAGGCCTCAGAATTGAATGGGAAGGGGACTCTGATTACTGGAAAGGCACCTGCCAAGTGGCTATAAGACTATTTAAAGTTCTTGCCTAACACCTTTCTATTTTTAGACACAGTTTCATGTATCCCAAGCATAACCCAAGCATAAAATTCTCCTGCTTCCACAACTGTTTTATCGATGCAGTGGTGGAGGTGAACACAGAGCTTCAACCTTGAAAATACATTTTCTACCAACTGAGTCATGTCCACAGAATCATCAGTGACACTAAGCTATAAATGCCACATTGTCCCTTATGCCATCTCAGACATCTGTACCATTTATTGTGTCATCTAAGGTCACATCCCTCAGCTCATGATAGAGCAGGAAGACATGCAAATTTTGTTCTCCTCTGCCCATGAAAACGAGCCCTGACCCCACAGCTCTGACAGAGATACCCAGATCTGGACTCACAAGTCCTCCCATTCTGTGGTCATCACTGAGCAGTGTTCAACACTCAGCATGGAGATGAGACTAAGCTGGGTTTTCCTTGTTGCGCTTTTACAAGGTAATTTATTTGTAGTAAGAGATGCCTAGGGTGTGAGTGGTTGTGAGTGAAAGAAACAATGGATATTTGTGAGATTTATTGACAGGATTCTCTGTGTTTGCAGGTGTCCAATGTGAGGTGCAGCTGGTGGAGTCGGGGGGAGGCTTGATGCATCCTGGAAATTCCCTGAAACTCTCTTGTGCAGCCTCTGGATTCACCTTCAGTGGTTACTACATGCACTGGGTCCGCCAGGCTCCAGGGAAGGGGCTGGAGTGGATTGGTGTAACTAAACATAAATATAATAATTATGCAACAGACTATGCGGATTCCGTGAAAGGCAGATTCACCATCTCAAGAGACGACTCCAAAAGCAGCCTCTACCTGCAAATGAACAGCTTAAGAGCCGAGGACACAGCCATTTATTACTGTGCTGCAGACACAGTGAGAGGACTTCAGTTTAAACCCTGACACAAACCTCCCTGCAGGAGCGCTCAGGACCAGCAGGGGGCACACTGCGCACATGGAAAACCAGCACATTGCAGGAACAGGTGCAGATGTAACTGAGTGTTCCTGGGTTCTCAGTCTCAGCTGGCACTCCATCTGATGATTTCCCATAGTGCTCTCTGCACTTGGGGTCTGTAAGGAAGAAAAAACAGAGTTCTGTTTTCCCTCCATAAACACACACACATACACACGCACGCACGCACGCACGGACACTCTCTCTGTCTCCCTCTCTCTCTCTCTCTCTCTCTCTCTCTCTCTCTCACACACACACACACACACAATTTCTAAATGAAATAAATTATAAAAATCACCCCTGTCTGCAGAAATGGCTGCTGATGTCACCGGGATCAAATATTAGTGAAGGTCCCGGGTGTTGGTGAGGTGTTTGGTATTAGGGGAGTTCAGAGAAGGCACACTGTGTGACTGGACACCCTAACAGGTCTCACATATGTCTGTTTTCCTGAGAACTGTGCACCTCAATAACAGAGCTGAGCCATTATCTGCTACTTAATGAATACCTTTCATCCTCATCATATATCCTACTAGAGTTTGTTCCTCTGGAACAACCTCTGACCTCTGTTCTCAGCATTGATGGGAGCCGCTCACATTAAACATAGCTGAGGCTCCGCCTGCAGCTCCCGTGCCCATTGGGGACAGTTGTGGGAAAATGGTCTGTCCCAGTTTTCCTGACTTTTTCTTCTGTGTTTTTCATAGAATCTTAAAAATTAAAAAGAGACCTGGTTAAAGTGGGGATATGTCTTCTAAGTCAAAATATTAATAATCTGTAGAAGAACTATTTATGATTTTATTCCGTTCCTCCATCTTGAGCCAGTTCGCAGACACTGACAGATAGATTTCCTGCTGAGCACTGAACTCTAGGACTCAGTGCCCTGGTCTCTGTGAGGTGAGTTGTCTTTCGTCCTGATAATTGCCCACCTGCAACTGAGCCTTGCCTCAGGAAAGCTCTGCTCCAGGTGTCCTCTCTCCAGGAGGCCCCACACTAACCCTACCTCACAGCAAAGGAGAAAATAGTTTCTTATTTTCCCATCATCACCTCATTATCAGTAGAAATCAAACATTTTCACTGAACAGTATTTGTGTGGGAAGAGCTTTCATTCACAAAACATGTGTTTAACATCTACATAATTTCATGCCTGAATCTGTGGACAACCGGGAAGCCCATTCATAAACTGCACACATCCATCATTAAGTAACTCCTTGCTCATGGTGAAAAGATGGAAGAGTTCTCATTTGCAGTAGAGAAAGACTCAACACCTTTGAATCTCTGCACTACCCCCTGTGCTCTGCAGACAGCTCAGCTTCAGTCACACAGTTGACAAAGACACATTGTGCTTAGTGGCTTGTGGAATTGTGAAAGATCTCTGAAGAGGTAGACTCTGGCCCCACCAGAGACTTGTGAAAGTTTGTTATAGACATTTATATTAAAAATAGTGACAAGAAGAAATCAAGTGTCACTTACACAAAATGAAAATACTACAAGACAATATGATTTCTGTGGTGATAACAAGTGAAAGCTTTCCACATGACAGAATAGACAGATGGCAGGTCAAGCAGTTCATGTGTGTGTTGAAATGTTTAACAGAGTAAGGAATCAATGCAATTTGAGAAAATGTATTAATATATTTTTCCAAAGAATTTTTTCATTAATTTAAATTAGAAACAAGCCTGCTTCACAGTCAGTCCCTCTCCCTTTTCCTCAACTCCTCTCAAAACTGATTCCCATATGCTCCCCAGGGAGGATGAGGCCCTCCATGGGTGATCCCCAAAGTCTGTCATATCATCCTGGGCAGTGGCTAGCCCCGCCCCATCTGTCCCCTTGTGTCCAGGCTGAGAGAGCATCCCTCCATGTAGAATGGGCTCCTAAAGTCCTTTCTCACAACAGGATAAATACTGATCTACAGCCAGAGGCCCCGCAGAGTTCATAGGCCTCCTCATTGACATCCATGTTCAGGGGTCAGGGTCAGTCCTGTGCTGGCCTCCCAGACATTAGTCTGGGGTCCATGGGCTTCCCCATGCTCCTGGTCTTGTCCCCTTTGCTCTTTACTCCTCCCTCTCAGCAACTGGATTCCAGAAGTGTGGTTCAGTGTTTAGCGGTGGATGTCTGCCTCTGCTTCCATCAGCCACTGGATGAAGGCTCTAGGATAGCATATGAGATAGTTATCAGTCTCATTATAGCAGAAGGGAATTTAGGGTAGCCTTTCCACTATTGCTTAGATTGTCAATTGGTGTTGTCCTTGTTGATCTCCGGAAATTTCCCGAGTGCCAGATCTCTCCTTGAAACTCTAATGGCTCCCTATGCTATGGTATCTCTCATCATGCTCTCCTCTATTCTTCCCACAACTTAACCTGCCTGCTCCCCCATTTCCTCCACTCCCCTCCTCTACTCTCTCTCTCAATCTCCCAGCTTTCTCTCCCCTACCCTCATGCTCCCAATTAGCTCAGGAGATTCTATCCCCTTCCCCTTTTCTGGGGGTGAGGGGTAGGGCGTGGGGGTGGGGCAAGCATTCTTCTCTTACAGTCCTCCTTGTGTTCTAGCTTCTCTGTCAGTTTGGATTGTAGCCCGGTAATCCTGTGCTCTGTCTAAAATTCATATATGAGTAAGTACATATTATGTTTGTCTTTTTGTGACTGGGTTACCTCACTCAGGATGGTTTCTTCTAGTTCCATTCATTTGCCTGCGAATTTCAAGGTTCCATTGCTCTTTTTCTGCTGAGTGGTACTCCATTGTACAAATCTACCACATTTTCTGTATACATTCTTCCGATGAGGGGCACCTAGGTTTCTTGCAGGTTCTGGCTATTATAAACAACGCTGTTATGAACATAGATGAACATATGTCCTTGTTGTATGAATGTGCATTATTTGGGTATATGCCCAAGAGAGAAATTGCTGGATCTTGGGTAAATTGATTACCATTTTCCTGAGAAACCACCATACTGATTTCCAAAGTTGTCTTACAAGTTTGCACTCCCACCAGCAATGGAGCAGTGTTCCTTTTTCTCCATATCCTCTCCAGCATAGACTGTCATTGGTGTTTTTGACTTTAGCCATTCTGGCCGGTGTAAAATGGTATCTCAGAGACATCAAAAAGGAAAACCAGTATAAATCAATTGTGCAGAGCCTGGGGAGTAAGTGCAGTGGGGCCAGCAAAAGTGTTTCCTGACTCTACTCAGAGTTTATTCTTCTCAGTTAACCACACACAAGGCCCAGGAGACCACAATCTCCAATGGCAGTTAGAACCCTCCCCTAGAAAAATACAAGATCATTTATTTCCTAGAGTCTATGTCACTCTCCTGGGAATGCTGCAGAGAAGCAAATGACACAATTCAAAGACTTTCAATCAACATGTAGACAGTACATCTCATAAAAAAATGAAATACTCAATTGGAAACTAGGAAACTAGTGGTGTCTCATGGAGAGGCAATCTCAAGTTTCTTCATACTGAGTCTCACCCAATCAGGACAGAGGTCATGTTGGGGAGGGGACAGGTCTGAAGGGATAGATGGACACCAGAGCAGGTTCCATGAGTGAGCACTCATGATTTCTCTCTGTCGTTTTGCAGAGGCACACATTGTTCCTTCATTAGTTTGAAAATGTTTAAAACTAGTGACCTGATATACAGGAATGCTAATTGAAACACAGTCCTCACCAGACTAATAATTAATGCAAACAAAGTGTTAAATTTCAAAATTAAAGTTACTCCCAGAAAAATAATAGTGTATAGAATTTATATATCATTGTTCTTCAATACTGGGTTTCACATACCAGACTTTTACAGGAATTAACAGTAAGCAACATCCTTTAAAACAATTTCTTCAATTTAATATTTAGACTCATCATGTATAAAACTTTGCTAATTCTTCTAAAATTATCAAATTTGTATTGTAATGGCCTTTGTAGACCTAATAAGAGAGAGTGGTGTCTGTTGTGAAAATTCAATTAATTAAAAAATAAATAAGACCAAATTATATCAGAAATAATTATTGATGATATTTTTAATTCTTTCCCTGTTACTTGTTTCTGTCTCTTTCATTTGGTCTAGGCATTTAAATTTCTAATACTCCCAACACAAACCTTCTTATAAAGAGCTGGAAATGAAAACAAGGCCTCCCTTTGCTCTTGAAAACCAGCACAGTCCTAACCCCACAGAACCTGCTGAGGAGCCCAGGCCTGGATACCAAGGCTTCCCATTGAGTGATAGCAATGAAGGAAAGCCACTCACAATGGAGCTGTGCATGAGGGGAGATTCCCTTGTTGCTTTTAAATTTTTAAATATTTTTGAGAATTTCTTAATCTTAGTACCGTGGCAGTCAATATCCCCACTCAAATTCTTCTTGTGTCCAACTCATGCTCACTCTCAAATTCATGACTTCTTCATCCTTACATGCAGCCACCTCTGTTCAAAGACTCAGAAGTTAATATGAAACAGAAATCTCATCCACATTATTTCCACTCACCTTTCTGCAGGCTCATATCTCACATAACATAGAGTATGATCAGAACAAGCAGTGGGACAACACTAATGACTACATGACCAGCGCATCTACGTCTCAGTAATTTTTCATAAAATTTTCTGAAATCTGTTATTTTTGATAACAATATTACACCATCAGATCCATAAAAACACACCAAATTTGAAACAGAAAATTGTTCCACTACCTAAGGAAAATCTCAAATACAAAACCAAAGATCTATGCACTGTTGATTATCCAGACTTTTTGTTTTATAATAGCTTCCTAATTGATATTTCTCTTACTCCACAGACCCTGCTTTGACATTTAATTACTCACAGTATCTCTGCATTGATTTGTTGTGCCATATGGATTCTATATCCTCTACAGATATGTGATAACTTATATTTCAGGATACTTATTTCAATATGGTCTTATAAAAACTCATATGATATTATTTATTAACTTGTTTAACATACTGCTGTTTCACTTCTGTCCACTCCATTTTCCCCGGACTCCCCATCCACTCCTCCATTTCTTTTCAGTGGAGGGCGAGCCTCCCATGGCTATCAACAAACATGGCATGTCACATTGTTGACACAACTTAGCATGAGGAAAAGGGTTGCAAAGTCAGCACAAGAGTCACAGACAGCCCCTGCTCCCACTTTTAGGAGTCCCACATGAAGACATGCATATTACACATCTGGCACATATGTGCCGAGACCCTAGGTCAGTCCTCTGAATGCTCTGTGTGAGTCTTTACCACCCCATGTTCCTTAATTCCTTGGCTTTGGGGAAGAATGTCACAGGAAGACAGTAGGCTCTGGGAAAGGAAGGAGGTGGATTACCTTATAATCCCCCTTAGGCAATTCTCTCAAGATACAGGTGGATCTTTACTGTGAGAAACATCAGGTCTAGCCGATGGAGAGAGAAATGCAAGTCATTAAAGAAACAGAGAGCAGAAGGATGTGGCATGGAAGGAAAGAGCCCCACTGGGTGTTTTAGGGAGGTTACAGAGAGCCAGCACTACCTTTGTGATGGGGATTAGAGGGTCTCTATATTATGTGTGCAAGGTGAGTCCTGGAGCAGCGAAATGGTAAATATGGGTCATCAAAATGTGTTATAACCATTGTTAAAGAAGAATCTCAGGTAGCATTCATATTTATGTAATAAATCTTTTGTTTTTTGAGTTTCAATCTTTATGCAGGAAATGTTATGCCACTTTGCTGGGGCCTCAACCACTTGTTTATTGTTAATTCAATAATTACAATAATGAATTGAATTGTTAATTCAATAATAACAATAAAACAATAATTATTGTTTATTGTTAATTCAAATAAAGGTAGGCATTCATTGTTTACTGGACAATTATTAAATGCTTATATTTTGGTTTTTCTTATCTTCAATTGCTAAGAATTAATTTAATAACCCATGCAAAGTTAGCGGAAAAGTTTAGAAGTAGAGAGCACAATAAAAGAAGACTGAAAAATATATGACTATGTAAAACCATGAAGTCAAAATTAATAGTCTATTTTTTAATTTCTTCTATCTTCTCTTTTCTCTGTTGGCACACAGTTTCATATAGACCAAGCATAATAACTTCAGTATACGATTCTCCTACTCCAAGCTCTTGCTTATCGTGTAATGGTGGGGATGGACACGGGGCTTCAGGCATGCAAAACAATACTCTAACAACTAAGCTGCATGCCCGGGGCAATGATTGATACTTTGATATATACACCACTTGGTTCCTAATTTCATCTCAAACAGCTGCACCCTTATTTGTCCTCCCTAAGACTCCTTCCCTTGAGGTGATATTATAGCAGGAAGACATGCAAATAATGTTCCCCCCTCCCCATGAAAGACAGCCCTGACCCTCCATCTCTGACAGAGGCACCCAGCTATGAACTCCCAGGTTCTCATATTCTGTGGTCATCACAGAACACTCCACACTCAGCATGGAGATGAGACTGAGCTGGGTTTTCCTTGTTGCTCTTTTGAAAGGTAATTTATACACAACAAAAGATACTGTGTGAATGGACTTGAGTGAGAGGGACAGTGGACATTTGTGAGAGTTTACTGACAGGATTCTCTTTTCACAGGTGTCCAATGTGAGGTTCAGCTGGTGGAGTCTGGCAGAGGCTTGATGCAGCCTAGAAAGTCCCTGAAACTCTACTGTGCAGCCTCTGGATTCACCTTCAGTGACTACTGGATGGACTGGGTTTGCCAGGTTCCTGGGAAGGGGCTGGAGTGGGTTGCACAAATTGGAAACAAGGGTTACAATTATGTAACATACTATGGGGAGTCAGTGAGTGGCAGATTCACCATCTCAAGAGATGACTCCAAAAGCAGTCTCTACCTGCAAATGAACAGCTTAAGAGCCGAGGACACCGCCATTTATTACTGTACTAGAGACACACAGTGAGAGGACTTCAGTGTGAACCTGACAAAAACCTCCCTGCAGGAGCGCTCAGAACCAGCAGGGAGCGCAGGTCACATGGAAAACCAGAACATTGCAGGAACAGGTGCAGACATAATTGGATGCTGGTTCTGAGGTCTCAGATGTCAATCCATCTAAGGATTTACTTGAATGCGTCCTGAAATTATGGTCTCTACATGCCAGGAGATCAGAGGGTGGAGCTAGCTACAAGTTAACCTCAGAAGCCAGGCAGTGGTGGCACACGCCTTTAATCCCAGCTCTCTTGGCTCACACCTTTAATCCCAGCACTTGGGAGATGGAGACAGGAAGTGAAAAAGTTGGATGTAGACAGGATCTCAGCTTTTTTGCATGTAGGAACAAAGCAGGTAGGAAGCAAGTGGCAACTGTTTCCAGTTCTCTGATCTTCCAGGTTTTTACCCTGATATCTGACTTCTGGTTTTTATTGATTAAGACTCATGAGATTAACACCTCATCCTCATCCAATTTTTGGGTCATGGTTTCATGAAATAGCCACTTTCCAGTGGCTTTGCAGCCACTGGCCCCTGAAGCAGCTGTACCTGCTGGGAAATGTGTCCAGCAGAGTCACAGAAGCAGAGGCTGTCTTTCCCTTTTTTTCCCAAGCCCTCTGAGCATTTCTGTTTTTGTTGTTGCTGTTTGGTGTTTGTTTTATTTTTTCTGTTGCAGCCTCTATAGAAAATGCTCCAGGTACCCGACTTCCAAATGCTAACTGAGTCAGCATGTTTCCATGTTCCCCAGTGCAGACGGTGGCTCTTTGGCTTTATTCCCTAGTGGGTTTGGGCTTTCCCTGGATCCCCTCCTCAGACTGATGATAGGCCAGCAGCAGCAGCTGTGTTTATTCACCATGCTGTTCACAGCCTGTGTTCTCCACTCAGATTCCCTAAGTATAACATTTCCCCATCATCATCACCAGATTTGGAGAGACAATTGGCAATTCTTAGATGGAGGAATTAGTTTTAAAAAAGTTTTTCCAACGTTAAAAAATTGAAAACACCATTATGATGGAAGGAGATATGTCTCTGTATGATCACATGATGGGTGGGTAAAAGGGAACAAATAAAACAGGGGATAATTAACTCAGATGGGATCCACACAATGCTAAAGATTAACATTATTGGATTGGTCATTCCTGTTTTATCCCTAAGATGTTGGCTGATATGAGAGCCAAGTTGCTTGACATGAGTGCCAAGATACAGGTCTTAGAAAGAGTTAATAAAGAAAACAATTCCATTTTGACTGATATGTTACAAGCTTTAAGAGATATTCAGACAAAGACTGGGGAATTGAAAGCATAGCCAACGTCAGTATTACATTATAATATTAGAGAGGAACAGCCCAAGGCTTTCAAACAACCAACCTTAATTTATCCAGTCACCTTACAGCAACAACTGCCAATTGACAGATATCCTCCAGGCTGTGGAAAAGCTGATTGGATTAGTGTGGGAATGATTTTTTTGAGGAGATTTAAGGAAGTGATATTCTCATATGTTATGCATTTACCCTTTGTGAGGCAGACATTACATTCATGGTCAACCAGTGACAGAACTGTCCCAGAGAGACTGGAAAGGCTTGTTTGCAGCAGTGTTGGAGTCTGGTCCTCAATTTCAGTGGAGAACCTGGTGAAAAGAGAAAAGATGAAGCTAGGACCATTGAACAATGAAGGAGGGATAGAGGTACTGAAACTTCCTAAGACCTATTTCTTGGAGAGGGAGATTACGATTGTGTGTGTGTGTGTTTGTGTGTGTGTGTGTGTGTGTGTGTGTGTGTGTGTTGTGCACATGAGAACCTGTGTGTGCTTTTGAAATTTTTATTGTTTAATAGATTGTGTACATGTCATTTTATTCACCTGATTGATTTCTAAAGGGAGGGGCCATGAAGACCTGAAAGTTGGAATGCTGGGGAGTTGTGAGAATTGTGATCAGAATGTATTTATATAAATGTTATTTTTGGCCGGACGTTGGTGGCACATGCTTTAGTTCCAGCACTTGGAAAGCAGAAGCAGGCTGATCTCTGTGAGTTTGAGACCAGGCTGGTCTACAAGAGCTAGATCCTGGACAGGCTCCAAAGTCACAGAGAAGCCCTTTCTCAAAAAAATGCTATTTTCAATGAAAAAATGTTGTCAAGCATATGTGCCCTCCTGTGTCTCATGATACAATTTCAAATAAGCAGAGGCTAGTTGGCTCTCAACAGAGTCTTGACACTACTTTGCCACTGAGATATCTGTCTTGGCAGGGAAGAATTGTCATAGGATTATTACACAGCTGGGAAATGTTTGGTTGGTGACTTTTCACCCTCTATAACCTGAACAAGTTCTTTTGGACATAGGAGCATCAGTCATCATTGAGGAAGTTTACAAGTCATTTACAGCTTGAGTTACTTGTTTCTTATGTCCAGAGTATATGACCTGTTAAGCACTAAGGGCTTATCATCTTGATCTGGGAAATAACAAAATCAAAGCAGGTATAGTTTTAGGAGCTCTGGAACCATGATTAAACCAAACCAAACCAATCCAAAACAAAACAAAAAATGGCTTCTGTTTTCCTATGCATTCAGGTTAGATTTCAAGCCAAGTGTTGTTACAAAACCAATATTCCTATAAGATGAACACTGTGTTCAGTAGTTTAAATCAGTTTTAAATTTAATCTTTAAACCATGTTTAAATTGGATGACAGATTAAATTTTTAAATCATGTTTAAATTTAATCATAGATTTAATAACAGACTAAAAGCCAGATTTATGTTTACCATAAAATTATGGCCAAATGCCATGACATATTCTTCATAGTTTGTGATCTTACTTTCCAGTGAAACATTAGTATGTGTTAACGGTGAAACATAATACAATACATATCAAGAAACAGGAATTTGGGGTTCTTCAGTTTGTAGTACTAATATGGTTTTTAAAGACAAATTTTTTCATACATGAGTAAAATTTTATATTCTATTCTGCTCCTGCTCTCTTTCATATATATACATATGTACATATGTATATATATGTATACATATGTATATATATATATGTATATGAAATATATATTCCCTCATATATATAATCCCATATATATATATATATATATATTCCTAATATATACATTCCTTATATGCATATAAGCTTCTCAGTCCATATAACGTTACTTGTAAATATGATTTCATGGCTTTTGTATTGCTGTGCTCTCCTCTCTAGAAGACCATTTCTCAGACACACAGCTCCTTATTTGTCTGTGTCCTTTGACTATGGGTGAGAGGAGGTGACCTGCCTTCCTTCAGCAGGCTTTGTTTCCACAAGGTTCACTCACTGCATTATTCACAGTTTCTACCATGATCCCGAGAATCTGAGGAGAAGAAGGAGAGGACACTGTGGTTGGTAAGTAAAATAAATGAAATTATTTAGTAACAATACTAAAAGAAGAAATGGAGCTCCCAACCTCAGGGGGCAGCTACACTTAGGGCTGAAGCTGACTCAGGCAGTGCTCAGTGCATCAGGGAAGAAGTCAACACAGTGAAAGAAAATTGCTCCAGAGCATGGAACAAAGCAATGCCCACTGCCGATTATAACGCAGGGCACAAAGAACCGATGTGAATTTTACCCTAAAATGCATCATTAAACAATTCTGGAATGTAAATTCTCTGTGTGTAGTCTGACATTTTACTCTTCCACAGTCACCTCCCCTTCTCACCTCAGCCTCTGGGAATCAGAACAATGCTCTCTGATGCCAGGGTTTCCACCTTTTCATTCTCCATGTGTCTCAGGTCAGGCAGTGTTTGTCTTCCTGTTCCTGGATTATCTCACTTGCTGTAACTCACTCAGGTCCTTTCAGTTTCACACACAGGACAGAGTTTTCCTCATTTCAAGACCACATCACAGTATTCTCACAGATTCTCTTTGCCATCCTTTCTTTGTCAATGACTTATTCTGTGAATAATTTCTTCTGAATCATTTTATTGTATCTTCAATCATTTTATGCATTGATGACATATTTTGATTATACTGATCAGCTAATCATCCCATTAACTCCTCAATTCCCACACCCCACAAACCACTCTCAGCTTCATAGTGAAGTCCTTTTCTTATCTTGACTCCTGGGAATGACACTGCAATAGATGCAGATGTTGGTGTAGACCTCTCATGAACACACGTTCCTGTCTCTCATCTGTAGCCTATTGGTTGACTGGGAGAACTTATGGTGAAGCTGTGTTTTGTTTGGTGAAGAGTGCACACCAGTCTCACCACACTCGTCTACAGACAAACCAATGAAATGCCTTATGTGTGTATCAGCCATTATTATCTCTTGTTTCTGACAAGTTATACTAAGATACCCGATGGGCATGCCCATATGCATTTAACCTGTGGGTCAGTAATAATTCAAAACTGGAAATTCTTTAGACATCTATGAACATAGATAAGTATTGTTTAGATAAATGCCTATCAAGTATTTTTTTTACTATTTAATTGATTTAACTCATTCTCGACTGAGTTACGTGCATATGTGTATATGGGCTCATGATTATATTCACACTGAGTGAATATTTTCAAATTTCCAATGTGAAGTGGTCATCTCTGAAATCATGTACATAAAACACTGAAAAAACTGAGCATGTTGTCCTATATATTTATCTCTCTCTTATTCTCTCTGTCTCTCTCTGTCTCTCTCTGTCTCTCTCTCTCTCTCTCTCGTGTGTGTGTGTGTGTGTGTGTGTGTGTGTGTGTGTGTAAATAGCTCATAGGGAGGAGGAGGAGGCTAGGAATTTGATAGTGACAGTTTGGGTATGCATGGTGTAATTCTGTATGTCTTTATTTTTCTTTCTTGATTTTTTAATATGTCTAATATTGATTTATAGGGAATAGCGATGGTATATCTCACCATCTTGCTTAATTTGTTTAAATTTGTTTATTGTTTCTAATTCCTCATGTAGTCTTTGACTGCTTCAAATTTGGATGACTTTTATATTGTTTTTGTGATTGATGTT